CGGTGATATTATAATGAGATCCCTTTGCAACGTCACCAAGGGAGCGAAATCAGACGCGCTCGTTTCCTCAGACGCTCGCAGAAAAAGGCTTACCAAAACAAAGTTACCGGGTTAATCTTTTTCACGTTTCCTTGGTTGGTAGATGCACTGGGGACCTGATTATAGCACTTAAAACCTGTAAAAGTACGATTTTCATGATATGTCACCTTTAAAGGAAAAGCGCTCAAACGGGTGTGTGTAGTGGGAGTGGCACAGAAACGCTGGGCATGTCTCCTGCTGTAGGTGTGGACGCCAAACAACTCCATCACAAGTAACAAGAAGTTAGTCAACACAGGGAGTCTGATACACTCCTCTCTCTCTCTCTCTCTCTCTGTTTGGAAATGCGTCAGATCTCAGTGAATCTGAATGTGAGATAAGCCTGAATGCTTCCACTCACAGGCACTGAACCGGCCTGGACTTGAGGAGGAGGCTGAGCTGTGAGGGTAAATTCCAGTGAAGTGCTGTCATTATGGGCTGTACGGTCTGTAAACCCTGTCTTTCAGCAGGGTGAGAAATCACAGTCAACTCACTGCTATTTTCCAGACAGCTCAGGAGACAGATCTGCTTTGGTAGTTCATGTAAAGAGAAGCTCCAACAAAAGCTCTACGGTTTGAGCCAAGATCAAACACAGAGGATGATTTCGCACTTAAACTGGAAGTTTAACACGCAAATATAGATGATGTCAGCAGAGCATATCTTGCATTTACCTGGAATTTTCCTTTCGTGTAAATAAAGTCAAAGTTCACCCAACAATAAAAAATCATCTTCATTTACTCCCCCTCAAGTTGTTTAAAACCTGTATGAATTTCTTTCTTCTTCTCAGCACAAGAATACATTTTGAAGAATGTTGGTAGCCAACCAGTTGCTGGCTTGGGAAAAAAAAGCACTGTGGAAGTCAATGCGAACTAGAAACTGTTTGGTTACCAACATTCTTCAAAATATCTACGTTTGAGTTCAACAGAAAAAAAGCAATTAATCAAACAATAGTTGACAGAATATTCCATTTTGGGTGAACTATCCCTTTAAGGCCAACAACTGATGGTAAAGTATGACAAATAAACTAGTAACACAACTGTTCTACAGTAGTCAAACACCGCAAAATGAACATGTTTTTAGTTTTTCAAAACACACAGTACTGTTGATATCTAAAAATAGCTGAGATTGAGATTATTGCCATTAAACTGCATCACATTTACCTTCGCTCAGCAAAATTTAGCATGAGAGCAAAAAAAGTTCGCCACAAAGATTACACTCATGTTTAGGTTGGTTAAGCGAATCGCTTTCAGAAAAAAAATGTGATGTGATGGTACCCTTTCAAAAGCGACATTTACTAATATGTGCACTTCAGGTTCTAATATGTAACATTTAGTACCTTTAAGTTACTAAAATACACCCTTCAGCAGTAAATAATGTACACTGCATAATGCACTGACCAACAGAACGTTGAAAGGGACTTCTGTGTGAGCTGTGCTTTATACATCTCTAGCAATAAAATGTGTTTCTTTGTGTCCTTTTTTTGCACACATAATTATGCATTGTGAGAATTATGTAGTCTTGACAACATTAGGGGTTACAAATCATTAGACTAACATCGTTTTCCCTGTATAAATGCACCATGCAATGAAACAATACAACGGCTAAGTTACTAATCAGTTACATTGTTTTGTTATTAGTAGGTACATGCATTGAGAGTTTTTCTCAGGCTATTGAGTTTTTTATATTCATTGATATTTCCAGTGAATGACTCATACAGAATGTTTGCTTTGAACAGACTGTTGTGCAAGAGAAAAGCAGGTGTGCTGTTTTAAACTGTGGCCCAGAGACAGACCTTTTTCTGGCTGATCCATGCGACTGCCTCCTGGAAGCTCTTGCTAGGGTCATCCCATGCGATAACTTCTGACGCGATGATCCGATTGCCTCCACCAGCGGTCCTCCTCATAGTGGTGCCCGTGATGGAGTTTCGAATTTCTGAGTGAAAGGCGTGACATTCGTCCAGACTGCAAGACAGATCGAGGATTAGGCGCTTTGCTTTGAATCTACAATCCTCTTTATTTTTTAAAATCAGAAATATCTGGGTGTTCAGCAACTGGTATTTTATGTCCCATTAGTTTTATTATGTCCCATTAATTAGGTTTTATTATCATTGTGAATAGCTGCGATAGAAATCACAGTAGCGATTTTTTAAGAATCTCCCTTAGTCAGTTGTGATGTATTTTGCGCCAAACATGTTTTTTTCAAAATTGTTTATACTTGATTATCAAAGGTACAATAATGTCAGTGACTAGCATGCTTGAGATGAATTATGAGACATGCACTGTTTTGTGTAGAAAAAGTTTTTTTAATTGTGTACCATTTCCAATCAATCTGTTATTTTTTAAATTTGTGCAAAAATGTGAAAATATTAGCTGTGAAATTAGCTTTCCCTTGTTGAGAAGAAGTGCACTTATTTAATGTGAACTAATAATTTACTTCTACTTGAAAGTATATTTACTGCAGTGTTATTTTAGTATCACTGAGATACTATAGTTTTTATAAATAGTTTGAATTTGTTTTATTTTTAGATTTTATTGCATTTTCATTTTAATTTAAGTTAAAGTTTTAGTCTTTTTTTTTTCAAGTACAGTATATCAAGTAAAACTAAATGAATAAGAAATAAGAAATATTGCCCTGGAAAAGGGCTTAAATAATTTTTTTTTTTAATTATTAAGTTTTTATGTTCTAAATTTTTGTTTAGTTTTTTTGTTAACTATAATAACTCTGATTTATTGTATCTGTACATGCAGACTTTTAAAAAGTACATTTTTAAACATTTTTTTATTAAACAAGTTTTACTTTAAAGTACATTTTAAGTCATCGTCTTAATTGTTTGCTGTGCTTTGAAGCACACTTATTTTGATGTGCTTAAAGCACATGTAACATATTTAATTATAATTCTAACTGTAGTGTTATTTGATATAACACTACAGTTAATATGCTTTGAATGTACTCAATCGCAACTTTACTATTACAAATGTGTAGTTACACATCAGTTGATTTTATAAATCTCCACAATGCCAAAAATGTCCACAGTTGAAGAAACACTCATTGCTGCTGAACAAATTTCACAATATATTCCTGGTTACTGACACATTGCTCATAGTGGGCTGGGCTGTATGCTAAAGTGTGCATTATGTGACAGCATACTAGTTTCATTTACGTATGTGAAAACACACAATCACACGCTGCAGGTACCTTCGGATGATCATTTCATTGGGCTGACCCGCATTGCGTAAGTCCACGGCGTACTTATTCATCTGCTCCATCAGAGCCGCTGCCGCATTCATGTTTTTGTCCACTTCAGCTGCTGGTCCCATCTCCAGAAAAACGACAGAAAAAAAAAACTTTAGAATCACGTGGAAAGCAGTAAAACCTTAAATCACTGTGTGTGTGTGTGTGTGTCTGTGTGTGTGTGTGTGTGTGTGTGTGTGTGTGCGTGTG